GTTGCTAGGCTAAAAGCGCTGGAAACGCCTGTCGTTTAGATTCAGGCTTCAGGCTCAATGTGCTAAGGGCCAAACAAAACTAGAAAAGTAAGAGGAAATATTCTTGGTGGCTTGAAAAAAAAGCGGTCGTGGTATGAGCTATACAAGAATCTTTCCCAGGAGAAAAATATACCATTTACCTTATTGAAAAAACCTCCAGTGTATCGCTCTGTTTAGGGTTGGTTGTATAATATACACGTTTGTGATTCGTATCAAGAATGAATCGAAAGTAGGTACACAATTGGAATGCCTCTCAATCTCGTCTAGTATATGCATTTACATGTGTCGTATATACTGATAACAATACGGCAACCGCAATGGCAGCCATAACAGCAGTAGCCGAAAAAAACAGATAGCAGTATTTATTTGCTTATTTTTGCCCACCCAGTAATTTCCTACTGGCTTAACATTTTTGTGCCTCATTTTGCTGGATCCTAAAAGCACCTGTCTGCAATAGATTTGCGGAAGTTTGTAAATGGAAATTTAACCTACATATAAACACTAGTCAAAGGAGAGAAATTCTAGATTTAACAGAAGTTACCCTGCCTTCAACATTCACTATATAGATGTCATTGAAAACGATTATTACGTATGCAAAAACCAAGCTATATTAATTACGCCGCGCCTAGGAAAATGGATATCGTGGAAAATCGAAGTGATAATCTTTTTTGTGAGAAAAACTGCTGTCCTTTTGCAAGTTGCGTGTAGGAGTACTAAAGGCAAACGTGTGGTCACATCGACTCTTGATGCCCATATCGATGCGGACGTGACTCGCATAAGTGACACCTCGTCGTTCACTAAGATTCTATGTAAGGTACACTATTTCTCTCACCATCCCTATCGCTGCTGTTAGTTATGACTTTTGTTATAATTAAAGCCACATTGCTACAGCTGTGAAGTCGAGATGACTAAATTTGTCTAAATTAAACAACAGCTACTGGTCGATCGAAAAGCCAAAGTAAATGGTAAATTAACAACGATGTCGAGAAAAGCTATGGTGTGAATGAAAAATTCATTATAGCATCCTTCTCTCCGGGAAGTGAATCAGCTGCCCACTGCTTCTATGGTCTTCAATGCGAGGGGGCCCATTTTGCCAATACGAATAGCCTGTAAGGCAAACGGTATGACGACAACGATACCCTAAACGCTAAGTGAATTAAGCGATTGCAGAGCAAAATTTAGTGGCCTATACTGCCTTCTTCTCACACAAGATCGACACCCAAACTATCGGTAAACGGCCCTGTTGTATACGTAACCTTCCTACATTTTAATATATCTTAAATTCACAGGCCGTTGGTCCTATCATTTGTTGTTATACGTACCAACCGTAGTGAACCCGACGTAGCCTAGGTTTGGCAAAAGCAGGGTTCAGTATGAAAGGCTGGTAGATTTCTGCTGCTTATCAATTCGGGAAGGCATAGCGTATTGCAGACTAATAAGGCTCGGCGGATTCGAACTTAACATAATTACATGAGTACCCATTCAATCGAGCGTATCCATATCGAGTTAACGATTTGCAACAAGACACACATGTTATACTTTTCTTACAACAAGAACAGGAACAGGTCCCGATTTCGTTCACGTACCATGGAGTACGTGGCTACGCAATAGAGCTGAATCTGCCGACATAGATGGAGCCAGAAATACATATATATGGTTTACTCCTAGTACAACTCAGTCATCGCCTCTCTGCAGATCCACTTCCGAAGTAAACCTCAGCCTTCAGACTTCTTGCTCGCTATTCAGCTCGAGCCACCATTGCGACCGAATGACACGAAGTCACTGTAGCAACAGTTATATACTGTTGTTCTGTCTAGCCTACAAGCAGGACGTACATGGATGTAATACCTGTCGCAGTATAAAGGTTTATTTAACAAACAAAACAGCAGCAAAGCTTCACGCGTTTCTTCATGGTTTCCCTTACGTAGAACCTCCAATGAAAACCAACTTACAGGTCATTTTGAAGGATGAAACTTATTGAACGTCACTTTAATCATCGTTTTTCATTTTCTTTGGCGCGCATGATTATTGTTCGTAAGCAGTTGCAAAGCTGGTTGATTTACGCGTGACGGTCGGTCGGGAATAGGGCTCGAACAATATCTGCCACCTAACGCTAGTCTGAATGGGTAGGCCAGCGGAGAACGAATATAGAGGCGGACGTTCCAGCGCGACCGTCAGTTCAGCGGGTCGTGACGTGTGCAGGTGCTACAATAACGGGTGCCAAAGCATGCACGTCATCGGCGTTAGAACCCAGATCAGCATACCATTGAATCGCTATTCTTTGTTTCCTCGAGGCCACAAATGTGTCGCCATGATGATCATGCGACACCAAAGGAAAGAAGTTCTCAGCGAAGTCTTTAGCACTCTCCGTACCACTTCTCTTTCACACGCCTCAATGTAAAAATAAAAAGACCGAGGAAACATGGGCTAATTGGCTTATTTTCGCATTCTTAATATTTCTACAAGAGTGAAGTGGAAAAGAAATAAAAAGCAGTGGAATAGAAAAAGCCCAATTTATGAGGTTGCCCAAATATTAACTAAAGGATTTGACTCGAGGTGACGCTAACTGATAGGTCAACTGTATGGCTGAGGAGCAGCTTCCGTTTTTTCAGTTGGTGGCATTAGTATTCGAGTTGCGCAGTCACTTCAGCTTCACTCCGTTCATGAGTACTGATAAAATATGATTAATGTCGAAATAGAATATCTATCACAGTATGATATATCTCTACTAAAATACGGTGCATATGATTCTACAACTATTGGAAAAGTTTTTCTTCTATAACTGTTGGCCCGTCTACGTTTATGGGAAAACTATTTAGTGACGCTATAATTAGACTGTATCGTGCTTTTTACAGTACCGAATACTTTTGCTCGTCCTCCCCTATTGGTTTGATTCAATTGGCTATGTATGTCTGTTTCTCACGCCATATTTAATATGATCGTAAATAGTTGCTGAAGTCTAACTACTATGATTTTTTATAATTTACCGAATGGAACTGTCCCAAGACGACCAAGGAAACCTGATCAAACCCTAACTGATAACAACAATAATAATCTGACCGAGTGACATCGTTTTATGTACCAGAACGTTCAATAGATTCCGGATTCTGATGACTTTCTGATTGGCATGCCGCGCTTGCTTGACTTGTTCGCCTTGCTGCTTGCCTACTACGCTCGGGTCTTGCTGCTTTGAGAAACCGGTGCGGCATCGTCTTCACATTTTCCATTGTCATCCTCGTGGCTCTTTCGACAGCACCGTTAGGGCATCGCGGAGCTTGTTCTTGGCTAGCGGTATTGAGGACAGGATTTTCAGACCTTCTACCTCATACCGAGAGCCGAGTGAATGCATCGCGGGGAGTTTACAGTTTACGAGCATGAAGTGGGCCTGACGAGAGTTAGCAATGAATGCCTTGTTATCATTGTACACTTTGAGAGTAACTAGAAAGTACTGAGCATAAAGTCGTACGTTACCTTACATTTTAGAAACGTATATCGAAATTGAAAGCGGCTCAACCATCATAGGCAGACTTTATATCGTGTACCATTATATTTCGTACATTTTTAAGTAGCAAACATTTACTGTAAATACATCTCTGGGTAGATTTTTCCTTTAAGGCCATTTCAGAGACAACTTATTACTCTGCCCTTATGTATTATAAGTACCTTACCGTGATTTGATTGATGTTCCATAATTTGACCCTAGAAACAATTATCGATACTATGTATTGTTACTATTATTCGTACGTAGTTTTTCATAAAAACTGATCAAAAAACCGCACATATGCTAATTTTATAGTTACTTAGAAAGCAATGGATAACAAAACGCGGTAAGCTTTAGCTTCAAAAATGATTGGCCTGCTTTCTCCTAGGACAAAACTTACATCGGTTAAGAGATGAAGTTAGCGTGCAATTTCCTGTCCCAGAAGTTCCTTCGATTATTATGGCAACTTGCTGCAGCCGGAATGCGCTATTTAGGACGGCAGAAAACCGCCATAGACATGCTGACAAGAGTTAGCGTCAGAGTACCAATCGTAGTCAGGTCATAGTCTCGTTGATTCAAGTAACAACTCCAATGCTAATGCAGCACGATAATGACTACAGACGTTTATTCTCGTTGAAGCTAGCATTTCTATGTCATAGGCAATTTAGCTAATGTTTATGATGATGACTGAAATGAAGCAATTTCAAGAAATCACCATGTCTAATATTGTTGTAAATGGTTAGCTAGTTAATGTCATAGTCATAGTCATGGCCGTCATTGTTATTACAAAAACTATCCGTACCGTAACGCGCTTTCGGCGCAAGAACGTTACGGGGAAACAAGCTAAAATATTTAGAAACATCTAGCAAGCGGTCGTAACAGAAGAGTTATGTTCTCTTTTTGATATCATTTGATTCTTCTACTCCGAACGCTGACGTACATCTTAGACTCCAGAGTAGCTGCTTCAGTTCCACAGCTTTCCAATGGCCGGCGACTTTTTACATTATTATTTCGTAGGTTTGTATTTCGGCTTATAGTTCGCTGCACTCCGATTTGCACCGGTAGCCTATTTTATACAATCATGTTTCTACGGCAAAGAAGTGCCGATAGATTATGTACCTTGTACGAAACGTCCTATTGATTCTATTGTTGAAAATCTAGATTTTAAGGCAATTTAGATCTAGAGACATTTTTACCTACCCGATATGCACAAAACAATTCTAGACTTTTTAGACTAAAAAACATAGGTATTAAAAACGTAGTACTAACAAGAAAAGCTTCTTTAGTTATAGGGGCGATATCCCTTTGTTGATCAAGGGCTAGGCTCTAAACGGTATAGCAACACAATACTCCTAGAAGATACACGGGGGCGTACAAATCAAAACTCTGACAATTTTCGAAGAGACAGACAATATAGGACTATTCTTCTTCCATTAGTTAACTTTTTCGTTTGATTGTTCCTATGCGATTTTATTTTCAGGCGGCGTATGTCATCACTACTGTTTTTTTCCATTTTCATATTTACTGGCCTGGGAATCTACGGGCTATTGTTACGGAAAAAGGGTCTCCGCTCCCAATTCACCGAAAGTTGGACGGTTTATTGTTTTGTGATGAGCATCGTCTGTCTGGTGCTCGCCTACTGCGTTTCCATCTGTGATTCTTGGCAGCAAGAAAATAAACGACGTTCAAGGTTACTATTAAGCTAATTTCAATATGTTCGCATTTATAATTTATAAAAACTACATACATTGCTCGGCTTTACAAGGTCTCCCTTCACCTATCAGTAATTACCCTAGACGCGTTCCTATATCGAGATAAATCAAACGACACAAGTAGCGATGAGCTACACGTGGCTCTCAGTTTCATCCTAGCCTTCGTGCGGTCGCGGCATAAAGTTCTACTCCACAGACATTTCAATCTATCAGCCTTTGGACAACTGTAAACAGGTTGATCTACTAGGTAGCCGAGCTTCTTAGCAAGAAAAGAGGTTACCAGTCTCATGAAAAAAATTAATCAGGAATGTCTACAGGTAAAGCACAACGTTATATAAGGAACAATATCGTAATTTAGTTCGACTTTGATAATCACGTCTATTAATTATATAATTGTTGGCTGAACTCTTCATCTATTGCTAGCACATGGCACCTATTTAGCAGTATTACGACCGGCAGTACGCCAGCTAATGATAACCACAATGACATTTAATATTGTCATATAATTATCAGCTATCTACACAGAATCATAGTGTCATGTCGGGCCAATATCGATTATGCCTCGGCAAAGTTTTCGTCACCTACACTCACGTATATATCTCTCTCTCGTCTTTTGCTCTGTAACTCTGTCTGCTTGTTTCTCACTATCTCTTCTTCGAATTTTTCACGACTACCGTTTTCGTTCACGGGGCGTACGCTTTTGACGCGTTCTTGGACTGCACTCCTACGTACATCGGTTTCCTGCATCGGCCGGTTCCTTCGCGGCCGTACAAGTTGCCTCTTGACGCCGCCGCTAAACCAACGCACGCCTCTGGCACTGCATCTGTATTTTGCCTTGTCCACGTACCTTGGTCACGACCCGACTGCTGCTGCTGACGCAGAAATGCTGCGGGGGAAAATACTAGCGAGGGTAGCGGTGTTAGCGGGAATGTACTGCCAGTCCTGCCGAACGGAAGACGGTACGGGCCTTCTGTAGTGAAGAGTGGCCCATTACCACCGTTAAGCATTTCGACATCATCGCTACACCACCCACCAGCGGGCATTCAGTCTGCCAGCACTTCCCCGAGAGAGTTTGCCTTCGCCTCGCCCTCACCACGGAGCGCATCGTCAGCCGGACACTTTGTCTTCCCACCTGGAACGTATCTACAGGTTGGTTGGTTGGGTCAGTTTTACAGCAGGGATAATTATCGACTGCCCCGTACGGACAATTGGCTGACGCACATAGTCGTATTAGCTACTGGTATCGGGGCTGGGAATAGCGCCAACAACAACAACAACAATAGCGTCCTTTGTTCACACATATAATGTAATAGACAAACATTATTTTAAACTGGTGAAGCTAGTTAAATACATACCCCATGTCTGAGTAAAACGACTATAGTTAACGGTAGAGCGCTTTCGGGGCACTATTCGCAAAGTTTGCTTTAGTCATCTATATTTCCCGAAGCCTCACCCATTGTTTCGTTTGTAGAAATGTAAACAATATTTGTCAAAGTTACCACATCTACCACGAGGTACGTGCATCAAGCTATACTGCCAACAGTAGACCTTCTGCCTAGACAGTTTGCGTTGACACTAACGGAATAACAGAGCCCGTTATTCCTCGAGGTAATAAGACCCCTTGCTAGCATTGGGACACTTGGCTTCAAAGCAACTCCTTTTTTGTCTCTAGATTGAACTTTTAACTCGTAACTTTTAATAGGAACAACTTTTAATAGGCCTCCTGTGCCGACTCTGTCGTTCGAAGGGTCTTCGATCAATTAAACGATGACGCTCACTTGTGTAAAAAAAATTACTTGATTTTTTCATTGGCAGCATCGTTACCAAATAACCTCAGCTTGAATAAGTGCCATGATAAGTTACCGCTCTACGTCTGATCTCAATGAAAGCTTTTTGCCTAGTCATTGTCACTTCGAAACATAAGATTTCCGTTTTAATATTTAGGTTTTCGATTGACTACGGCATTACGGGCAAATCATCTCATCGAAGTCGACTGCCATCAATCTATGATTGACCATAAACACAAATTTTTTTTAATATTTCAACGTAGTTAATTGTATTTAGAGATTGGATCAAAGTAACAAGAAGCTTTACAATTTCTGTTTGTCAATGCCGACTTATTTGACATCAAGCATTTGCATATAATGGAGTGCAGTGCAATTGGGGGACGCTTGAACTCATAGTGGGGATTTTTTGTGGGGTGCCAAGTAGGTTTTGTTTAGCTAGAGAGGTGTAGCAGAATAAGGGGGTTATTTTCGTGAATCGAGGTTTTCATTAGTACGTATTAGTTCAGACGGAGAAGACTCTACAGCGCTTTTACTTTACAATGGCAATAGGTTGGCCACTAGCTATTCTGTAGGCCTCAGCCGTCCATTCTAACGTCACCGTTGTTTTCTACGTAGCAAAGCTATCATGTGCCAGACAAACCAAAATAACAGAGCAGCTGTCCAGATGGAGAATGCGTTGTTGCGGCTATCGCTGGATGCCTATCATTTTGTCGGCAAAAAAGTTGTTTGCAAATGGACACCCTTTAACCATGGTTACTTCGAGCTGTCTATATTGAATGTATAACGCAATAATGTCTCAGCTAGAGATCCACCTACCAGGCCGATCCAGCCCGAGGTATTACTAGGCGCTCGCTATTTTGCTAGGCAGGTTAGGTCGAACGACAGCATAAAAGCACCATGCGTTCATACACGGGACGTGGGTTAGTAAGGAACATTTTGCTCTTCTTCTGACTATTGATGACAGGGCTTTCATCTGGGTTGTAGAAAGCCTTTGTTCGATTATTATGTTTTACTGAATTATTTTAGCCTATGTAAATTCATACATGAAAATGAAACATGTTAATCAGTGAAAAGCCTGCTACCTTAGCAAGACCCAAGTTGAACATCATAGACGTTTCTCGTCCATACCGTACTGGCGCGCGTAACCTAGTTTGTGTTACAATGATATATCAACGTCATTGATCCAACTAATCTGTTACTGTTAAATAGGAAATTGTGCAAGCTACGCACCGCATTTCCATTCTGACAGAGGTACGAATATATTCAGATAGAGATTGCTGGTTAGATAAAACTACTTGTACGGATCGCGATTTGATACCGATGTATTATTACTTGCACCACACAAGTATGGAACGATAAATGGCTCTGAAATTTTGAACTACTTAGATAAATCTTAATTAAGTGTAAAAGAAAAACAAAACCTTGGACAAGGAAGCGAACTTTTTTGTTTTTCTCAGCAAGTACTGATTTCCGCTGGGCAGACAGCAAAATGTAAAGTGGCATAATCACGGCTCGTATTATTGGTACTATATTATATGTACATAAGCACTGCAGTAAGCACTTTTATTAGCGCAACTGACATGTATGGTGTCACTGTTGTTGTCCTTTTTTGTTCTTGTGTTACTAATACAGGTGTTTCCCACTCAGAGTCAGGTGGTGTCGCCCTCTCGGGGCAGCGGCGGCAGGTACTTCCTGTCGGGTGGGGTCTCTAGCTCCACTCGCTCGATCGCATCCGCCCCCGCGGAAGGGCCCCGCTCGCCTCTCGACAACCCGTCTAATCATAACAGCAGTGCCCATCATAACGGGGACATAGGTACGGGCAATGGAGGTAGTGCCAGTCATCCCAACACTTCAGTAGAACGGACTGGAGGAGGACATGGGCAGCAACGTTCAGGTAAGTTGACTTGGGCTGGCAAAAATCAGCGTCCACTCTATACATGCGCACTATTATTATATGAAAATGTCGTTACCGATTCCTCAATTGATTACAAGTGCACGATAGTGATGTTTCAGTCAACGCCACCATCGCATGTCTTTAGCAGTAAAAGGGGAACACATCATGAGCATTACTGTATGGTTGTGGATGTTCTTTAGGTTGAAAATCTTCTGCATACATTTGTTGACAGGTGGCTTTAAATGATTACTAACTCATTTTTATCGATTTTGTTTGATACTCGCAAAAGCTGAGATGTGTACTGCATGCAGAAGATATGAACGTTGAAAAATCTTTCATAAATATTAAAAAATAATAATAAAAATAAAATCAATAGTATTTAATTATATGAAAGTGCTTTTTAGCTTGTTATTATAGTTACCTTATCTAATTATACTAACTATAGATGATTTGCTCGTCATACCGTAATAGGAAACGCTGGTGCGTTTGCTGGTAGTGGAGTCGGAGGCCGAACTTCACCTCGCGAGCGACCGGTCCTGTTCGTTGTGGTCCCTCGAGGATCAGCACTTCAATTGCCAGCCATGCTGGATGTGCCTCGCTCGCCCAACTCGCCATTAGATCGCCGCTGTGTCAGAAGGTAATGGACTATATAGAAGATAAGATTTACATTTTTTACGATTTTTAAAAATTGACGTCAATTGTTTATTACTTTAAACTTATCCATGTTTTTTCTCATGTAAAAAAAGCAAAAACTATACTAGTACGTTCCGAAGATTTGTTGACTTAAATATCTTTTCCTAGCACAATACTGAGCTTAACCTATTCACACGTTTGAAATTGTTAACTCGCGTGTTTTTATGTGTTTTTGTCTTCTTTCGCACACTCCTTGCTCGCTGTGCCTCCCGTTCTATTCGGCTTTGTTGTGGGGCTCCGTCAACCTCACCTTGGAAATCGCACTCACACGTACGAACCACCTAAACGCGGCTATTGTCGCCGGCGGAAACAAATTACCTTAAAATCCTCCCGTTTTATTTGTTTCTTGCCCTACGAAACCGTCTAAATCAATTTAATGTCTTCGATTATACGAAAATGACTGTCCATGTATGTGGCTTAACATCAATAATCATAATAACATTGTTATTGAACACGAACTGTGGCCACCTTCTGGTAACAGATGTTGTAGTTTACCGCGTTCGGGTCATCGGCGTGCGCGGCGCTTCTACCAAGGCGGCCACGGGGGCGGCGGAAGTGGTTCGCACGGAGGTCCGCATGTGGGCACCTCAGGCCAGGGTGGTGCCCATTCCACTCCTCCGCCCTCACCTCGGCAGGTGTGTCTCGTACTGCCCTCTAGTGTGCATCCCGCACAAATCGCGGCGTTGCATTCGCGATCATTCCGCCGGCGACGCTCAAACTCGTTCTCGGGACTTGATGCAGTCCGACACTCACATAGGTATGTTGCATGGCGCAGACGTAACCGCGAAGAAATTATGCAATGATCATTACGCGGAAAGTCAGAATGGCATTTGGAACTTAAAGGAAGATCGGTAGTGATCAATGTTGTTCGATGAGGGTTATAATGAATTGAGGAATCCGTTGTTTTGCGCTTTATTTGGCTTTGTTTGCTAGGCGTTTTCTATGCTGTCTTTTGAAAATGACGATCAATCTGCGGAGCATCGTTATTTTGATAGCTGCATACCTTTATAATTAGACAATGTTGTTTGCAAATGAAAAACGCACGAAAAGAATTACTGTATAATTGCACGTAGGGCCCCTTGTCAAATATTGGCCTAACTCTCTAAGAGTGTTGAAGTGGAGTTATTAACATAAGCATTGAAGGCACTCGAAAGGTAAACAGGATTAAGTCAAGGACCCAAAAACAAAAGTTGAACAATTAAATTATTTATGCCTATTTATATAAGCCTAAAGATTTGATGCATTCCAGCAATGTGCGAAGCGTCTACAGCATTTATTTGAGTACTATATATTGTGATACGCTCATTGGTAATGCGACGTTTTTCAACATAATTGAATTAGAAAGCTTGTTGACTTTATATATTACACGCACTACATATCTGTAGCGGTATACGATGATATTTCTAAAAATTGCACTTATATTCATCCAACGTTGCAGAAGCAGCGATCAACTCGAAATACCAGGGGCGCGAGTGGGTGCGAGCGGAGCTAGTGCGAGTACTGGCGACATCTCCCTTGAGGACGATCCGCCATCATATGCATCACTCTGCGAAGATCCACCGCCGTATAGCGAAATTGTTCGACCGGTTAGTCACACCGCCTCACAAACATCCGATCCTGAAAAGGAGGTAGGTCTATCGGGAGCGCACGACACAGCAACTTTGGGGGCAGTTTCTCGTTCCTCCGAAGACGTTCCCATAACTTGTGGCACCTCCGCGATAGCTGATCACGGCATTACGGTCACAGTACAGAGAAGTAGTCCTGCTACAACCGATGGCGATATCGAAACGACCAGCGAAATGCTAGGCGCCAATTTCAGCAGCTCATCCACAGGAGTTCCAATCCCGGACGAATTGGTAACAACTACAACGATCGTAGACGGCCTGCATGAGACCGCAGCGTAAACTGACGAAGTTCACGAATACGCTACGGTACACGGTATCATTTGACCGCCGGCCGTACGCTACCAAAGACTGATGAAAAACTGGAAAGGAAGTAGAGAAGTAACGTTCAACTATAAAGAGTCACCGCATACAACTGATGACTTCCATGGGAAATTAACGACATTACGGCATGCCATTAATTGCTATGGGAAACGCGGGACACTGCAAAGAAATTTCTTAAGGAAAGGAAGCAAGTGCCATGCAATCAGCTGTTTAGCTAAATGCAATCAGCTAAATTAGACTTCGCAAATCCTTCAGGGGTAGTATGATATACGAGGAAACGACAGAATTCCAGAGGCAACTATACATGTAGAGTAATGGTAGTTGTTAGTATTATTATTGCAGAGAGAGAAAGAGAGGTTGAATGAAAAAGAGTGATTGAGTTGAACGTGTAGAAAGCGCAAGACCGAGAGAAAAAGTCGCCATATATATATATACATACATATATATAATTCAATGCTTGCTTGGAAACTTTTTGACCCTGCGCGGGTAACTGGATGATGAACGCCAACGATGATCAGAACCACCTGCTAAACAATCTGGATCTTTTGCCAGTTTCCGACATTGATAGAGAAAGAAGATCTCACAACTTTGTCCAGGATCGAACCTTTTTTTGGTCACCCTTTGCCTGTCAGCCGGTGGCAAACGGTCGAATTTTCTGTTTAGATGACGTCGAAGACCGTTACCATGTACATACAGATTCAAGTACAGTTGTACATCAAAATCATATTTACGTACACATAATGACAAGACGCGAATGTGTGCTTTGCATTACTCCGCCGTTCAGATCGGTCGATTTAGATATGTAAAGCACAAGTGTGTTATATTAATGTAAACATTGCACATGCGATAATGAAATGAGAGATGAACTTTATCAACGCGCGTTTGAGGTTTGACTACGCGTTCGCCTGTGTCATGGGTAGCGAAGGCAGCCAATGCCGAAATTAACTAATAAGTTCGAGCGCGTCTGCTCGAACCGACTAATTGTTAAAAACTGTCCCAAATACTAACGAAGATTCGAACCGAAAAAAATAAAATAGCAGATCAATATGAAACAGAAAAAGTAAGGGGTATCCCTTCCTAAGGAGACATGCATCCCCGTTGAATCCTTTTCTTAAAGCTTTTAGCTTGTTTAGTATAAGGATTAAACCATATTAGGGAACATATATCATGAATCGAAACGTCAGCAGTGTCGACAACGTAGAAAGAAAAGTCAGTTACACTAAAAAAAACAATAGGCAAAAGTAAAGCTAATTACATTTGATGATAGTTTCAGATTTTTCCAAAGAGGCTTTAAAAGAAAAATTGTGATCATGTATTTACATTGCTGCTAATACTGCTGGGGTGGTGGAGTCATGCTGGTGACGTGACCAAAACAGACGCTCCCCGTTGCGGACCCGGGATAGGCGTACAAGACAAAGGGGTTGAAGAGGATCGATGGGTGAGTTAAAGACGAAGTTCAAGTGAACGCAAGATAGTCCGCGAAAAGCATACCAAAGAATACAAAAGACAGAAATCAAAATGGCCAGTATGAACGCAAACAGATGAAAGATGCCAAAGCAGCGGGAGCGAAAAAGGAAGTAGGAAAGGCACTAGATAGAGTTATGAAGGACAAAGAAGCGATTTAAGAAAGAGGGAAACACATCTTGAATCTCGAAATCATCTGCGTGATGAAAGCAAAGTACAAAGTTTCCACTCGATTTGAAGTCTACTATACTATTAATATACATAATATAACTATTAAGTTTATTATAATTATACGGAATTGTTCAGAAGGAAAACACTGATGATTACTGAAACCATACGAACATTTACGTAGATAGAGATCAACAAGGCTCTTGATGTATTTTATTGGTGAACTAGCGGTAATTAAAGAAAAAAGACCAAAAGGGTGCAGAGTCAGTTTCAGAGTCAAGAAGTTTGTCTGATTGTATCAGGCTTTGCAAGCTATTAGACAACATCCCAGCACATACTCTAGCGCGATAGTATATATATATATATATATATATATATATATATATATATATATATATAGAGAGAGAGAGAGAGAGAGAGAGAGAGAGAGAGATGTAACAGTGCGATGAAGAGTGCAGGACGGGAATAGTTCCGTTAATTCTATATTGACCGCTACCAAGATGCCAATCTGCCATGTAACCGGGCGCATAAAACCCACGTGAGTGTGTAACGTAAAACCGGGATTTTTCATCAAGCAGAAGCAGAAAAATCTTTTCCGGAACAGTACTACGGACGGAACGAAAATTCAACAAATATCATAATCAATTGATACGTTAGCCGCAAAAGCAGACCACTGAGCTTCGAGTCACAAACTGCTAAACTCCGTTAAGGACCGTTTACTTTCAGCTAGAAGGTGCCTCTGCAGGCAGGACTCTACGATGCTTCCGAGACACGGAAGGGACCTGCGCCGCAGAATGAACACATCTGCAACCAACCCTAAAAAAATAGTCCAATCTGATTTACTCGAGAGACCGAAATATCTGTAGATACACTATAGTGTGGTGTAGAAGACGTTGGTTGACGGGAGGACGATAAAAAACAATGAACGGCAACAAAACGACAATCGAAGTTAAGTGAAGGATATGGCTATATTGTCAAGGTTCACCTTAAAACTATTTATTTAGCCATCCGATACTACGAAAGAAAGAAAAGTGACTTCATCATGATAAAAGCTTCATAAAAGTTTTCTTCCTTTATCTACAGTACTTAGCTATGCACTAAAACAAATGTTGTAATACATATTGTTTTTCAGTGACATTGATTGCCAAAGAAGTGAACCCTTGGAAAATAGCATACAATTGGGTTACGTATAGCTTCAACAAAAAACAGTTATGTCAGAGTCTGCGAGGCCGAGGTCGAGTGCCAAATAGATGGAACTTGTCATCCTTTTTCTTTCTCCTGTTCTTGTAATCACTGCGTATTGGTAAGGACTCATAGGACCAGATGGAAATGACGCTATGAATTTTAATCGACGAGCAAATCCAAGCTATCGATTAGCACAGCCGCAAAGATTACTGACAGTCAAATAACGGCTTATGGAGTGCGAAGGTGAAACGACTATGAAATTTAATTGTCATAGGTGTATAAAGCTGTTTCCGAACCATTGAACTAGGTTTTTGTGCTTTTCAGACCCACGTATAATACGTAAAACAATAATATGCTAATTCAAAGAAATCGCACATCGTTCGAAGTCACGTCATCGTTGACCTTTCTACTATAGATGACAGACTGCTGAACCTAACGCGGAGAGTAAACAACTGCCAGATACCAGGCGGTGCAAGGGTTGTCATTTCTTGCCTGGAATAGGTTGAAGTGCATGAACTCAAAGATTTGACAATAGGAATAATCCAAGTAAGATATACGTAATGAAAGGCGCGGCTGTTCTCATTATATGCACGACGACATATGGGAAAAAGCGTGTAGATGGCCTCCGATTTATATCGTGCATTAGTTATTGAAAAGATATATTATATATCACAATTGTGATAAATTGCACACAGAAAGGGAAAGCTAATTCACTAACTGTTGACTTCATCGATCACGCAGGTAACGCGAGGTCTAGGTAGAATACTTGCTTAAAACTTGCCTGTCTCAAGGGCTGGCGTTCTTTTGTTACTTACAATTGCTAGCGTATTGAAGTAGATTTTCAAACAAGGCTATGATGTCAAGGAGCAAGCAACGGGGCGTTGATTAGGACAAGTGATTACGTTAGGATGAACGTTAGCAGCTGGAGACCTTTAAGGGCTTCATTCGTGCCATAGCTGACAGTTGACGATTATTTTCTACAGGAATATGAGCCGATCACAGTTAAATGACAGACCGAAATATTGTTCTAATACTGCAATTTAAAGACAAGTGGTCTACAAACGGTCGTCAACAGTTGTCGCTTTTAAGTAGAACACTTCTATTCGGCAAAAGGTTATTCTATCGCGTGCCGGCTCAAAATTATCATCTCACTAAGATGAACAGCGCGTGAAGTCCTTGCTTATCATTTTGAATTTGTATTAACTGTATGGACATTTAAAGTGTGCTCCGAAGTCGCTGTGAGGGTGTAGTCAGAGAGACTATACGTTGTGCCAAGTCACACCATCTTGCGAAAACAGGGTATCATTCTGTAACTAATTTTTGTCAGATATGAAACTAAATAGTCGCCGTACTGCGCGTGACGATAGGTAATAAACGAAACGCTCGAGTTTCTTGCATTGCGATTGGCCTATTGGCTACTAAGGTTGAGTTTAAGGGAAATTGGACCACGACTGCGGTTGCCTAGCCCTCTACGTGTAACGCTCACACAGGTATTGGAAGAGTCTGCTATATGCATGTACGTACCGGACGAAGCGTGAAGATCGGCGAGTGCACACGCAATACGATGTCGCAGCTGTTAACATATATTAAACTACTCAACGGATTCTACATGAGAAGGACAGGGTGCCCTTGACAGCGGGCAAGTGGAAAACAGTAAGAGATCCCAATAACAAAATACTGTTACTGGTTAAATTATCAACATAATAGCGACTAATATAATTACATGTACTATAGGCATTATCATTACTACTATGGTAAAATAATATACTAATACTGTGTAGTAATTATAAAATATCAACATTAAAAAAAATAAAGTTCTAATCACCGATTTACTATTAAGATCAGTGCGCGTCATTTTTTTTTCTTTTTTTTACCAAAAAACAGCCAAAAATAATTCGAAACGGTTCTTCTATAAGCATCAATTAAATTCAGTCAGATATTCATATATGAATAGTTTTTTTATATCAAGCCTTGTATATATATTTGATTATGAACTTTCCATTTTCCAGTAGTTAACACTTTATTGAAAATAGTGTTTCTTATTTGCAATTGCCATAGACTGCATGGTATACCACGAGCTGTGAAGGGGCGGCGGGCATATTCTTGATGAAATGTTTACGGCCTGTAGCAGTTGACCGTGATCTTGATCGCGCCGTCGCAGCCGCTTAGTGCGTGTTCAAACGCTTCCACTACCCTCTCTAGTGGATAGCGATGAGTAATCATCGGAGAGAGTTTTACTTTGCCCGAGTTTATCAGTGAAACTGCCGTGGGATAACTGAAGGAAGAAGCAACATTATACTTACACAAATTGCCAATTGGCTGCGGCTATCTATAGCTCTCTTCTGTCTGAAAGAGCTTATTAAAACATGTTCTGTATGTCTAGTTTAGCAGGTCGAAAGATAGAAGTGGAGGCCTCGAGCTGATTGGGCTTAGCTATTTACCATGTTCTTTTATGTGGTTCTTCATGGGTTATGACTGGTTTCATTCAGTAATCTTGCTAGTAAGCAGTTACCTTCAACGGGAGCATGAACGAGTTTTCAGTTGACTACGAACGAAATCGGTATGGAAGCACATCGATATGTATGGTATATTCGGTTATAGGGTTACACCTGATGGTCTGTCCAGCCATCTGTTATTCACAGATCGAAGCACATAGCATGCCAATTCGAAGCACGAGAGAGTGATTCTTTAAACCGCCGTAACGGAAAGTAAAATGCGGTGGCTGAAACGCGTACAAAATGTTGCGATGACAAGAATCAGAAATTCAAATTCTTGGAGTAATGACAACAGTCGTTTGGAGACCAGACGATGACTGAAGGCCCGAGTGTCCGAGGTTCCGTGATAGACGATAGATCTTTATTGTAGGCGACCATTGATAGAAAGTGCAGAGGGAAACGAGAACAAAGATCATTATTGATCTTTGTTCTCGTTTCTCCCTTGCAACACTTTCGAGAAGTTCACAAAGCTGAGCCGTTCCACGTGAATCATTTGGTATCATTATGAACGATTCCCTGAGAGCGCAAACACAAGATGCCGAAGGACTTATGCAAGCCTGTCAGCAACTGCTCCCAGGAAAACGTAGAGCATAGGAGAGGGTTTGCCTAATTTGCGTTAACTGTCTCAGCGTTACTTCAGAAACGAGCCCAGACCGAAGAAAGCTGCGATAGCCAGAAAAGGAAGCAAGCTTCTTTTCACAATCTTCTTCGCCTGTCAGGGTAAGTTTTAATGCTGTCGGTCTATAATGGCCTGAGACAACAACTGACGGGTTCTTCGCCACCGTGATACCCAGGTTCGCAAGCCGGCTTTACTGCAGATAAGCCAGGTACCTGTGTTGCCTCAGAATACAACCAGATCTAACTCCTTTATGATTGAATTTATGACGAGGACACTTGGGGCGCATCTATATTGAACTTGGAGGGATTATGGGCTACAATAGGAATTTGGAGCCATTAATTCGCTAATACCGCAGCAAGAAGAACTGTCACAGAATCAAACTACGGCAACACATTGCCCTAGCTGTACCGGATCAATGAAATTATGCCAATAGGAACAAACAAAACTAAATGTAGCGCAATGTAGATACAATTTTGTAGAATAAATAATATACCCGCGTCGCTATTCAGTGAGCTAATAATGTACTTACCAGTTCGCGTAGCAGAAAATACCCTTAATGTCAATTTCCTTAACGACGGCTTCCATGATGGGCACTTTGCTCATAAGTGCTCCCATACCAACGACCAAAACGGAACCTCCCGGTTTTGTGGCCTATTTTTACAAGTATAACAATAAAAAAAAGTTTAAATATTACTAATAATACGCTATAGCTTTTTGTATGTATAGTAAGTGTATGTCGATCTGTTGATTTTGTGGTTCGTACTAAACAGATTTATTTAATAAGAAACTTCACGTATGAAACACAATGGAGATACTTGATTGCTTACTTTAACCATGGTAGTAGCCCATTGAAGGTGTAATGCATAACACTATTGCTAAAATTACTTCGCAAGAATTTTAGCACTCACGTAAACGGCAGTTTGCAAGCAAAGCTCGTTTCCCGTGCATTCAAAAGTGATTTCGGGTTGCGCTCCCAACAGTTCCTCAACCCGTTTGGCGACTTCCTCGGGTTTCAAATCGGACACGTTAATCGTGTGATTGGCTCCCATACTTCTGGCAGTTTTCAGTCTTGGTTCAATGATATCTGTACAAAAAGATGAGCATACCTGAGATAGAATCGCAATGCAGCAACAGGAAACATAACTGGCCCTATATTCTTCATGCGCACAAGTTTATTAGTGTGAACTGACCGGTTTGAACAATGTTGTCGACCCCATAAGCTCGTGCAGCACACATGCATAGCAAGCCGATCGGTCCTGCCCCACACACAAGAACCTTCTGGCCTGCTTGAACGTTGCCCCGTTTGCAGGCCTGTATTGCAACGGCAAATGGTTCTACTAAGGCAGCCTCTTCCATGCTAACATGATCCGCCACCCTGAAAGAATCATAGGTAGTACGAAATGCAAATTGAAATGAATCACGGCATCCTAAACTATGATCGTGAATATCTATTCTCTTCGGATTAATGAAGAATTCATTTGTTTATTGGCAAATATTTCCAGCGGAATCTGAACTCAGCATTTGATCGAACAATGCGACGACTTACTTGAAAACGAGATCGGCCTTCGACAGAGTATATTTTCGAAAATGTCCTCTGTATGGTGAGGCCTCAACGAAACTGATTGTGGGACAAAGGTTGTAAGTACCACGCTTACAGAATTCGCATTTCCGACACGTCAAATTTGGTTCAATAGCCACTCGGTCCCCTATTAAACAACGATATATAACGAATGACATCGATACCTTACTGTATTCACAAGCAGTGATTCAAGAAAAATGGGTGAAACCTTTTTTAAGGTAACACGTTTGTTTCTTCAGGCAGTGTAAATGCGTAGTATTGATATTAATAACTTATTGGCTACAAATATTTTTCAAAATCGTAGGAAAATAGAAAACTTTCGTATCAAATTGACACCTTTGCTTGTCCACCTACTTCAAGAGTATTTCAAGATAAGGGATAGCGAAAAGCCACAAAACTTACCGCAGGTTTTTTTTTTTGCAATAAATAGATACTAAGAAAAGAGCGAGCACTAAAAGATCGACTGTCGGATTTGATTTTGTTAAACAAATTCATTAGTTTTAACTATAATATTTACAACGCATGCCAACATACCAACTTTGAGGTGCTTGACATTTTTGCCAACCTTTGTGACATACGCGCTTGTCTCATGTCCGAGACCGACAGGCTCAGTAACAATAAATCGGCCTGTTCGCCCTTCGTGCCAAAAATGCAAATCCGTTCCGCAGATCCCCACTGAGGCTACCCGCAGCAGAACATCTATATGAACGCAGAGACAAACAGCCATGTAATAAACATGGAAAAAGTTAATTCTCATTTTATCATCACAACATTAGCACGTATCGCGTTAGGAGTCGTAACTTTCTGATTATCTGATTTACTAAGTACTATAATGAAAATCGTACCATCGTCTAACGGGTCAGGAATGGGTGATTTCTCCTGAAAAACAGCAGACAAAAATAAATATAATGCCATAAGTTTCTTTAAACTTAAAGTAGATCCAATAGTTTTAGTGTGTAACTAATAGCAAATGCTTATTATCCATTATCATTTGGATAAAACGATATTCAAAATTTCAATCAATGACTTAATATTAAGTCACGATTTAAGTGGGAACGGCCTAGCATCTCCGCCATCGGAGGAACTTATACACGACACGCACTTAAATGACCGGAGCCGGAACTAGAATAGGAATAAATAACTATCGCGATCTGAAATTACCAGCCGGAGATCGTGCTTGCCGTGCAGGATTGCGCTGAGATTTTCCATCGCTTCAGTGGTTGCCATCTTGTATTGACGTAACGTTTGTCAACGCTTTTATATAACGTTTATCAATTTTTCACGGTGCCAAAAGTAAGAATAATGAAACAAATTTGCACAGATGTACGGTCAACGATTGTCCTAAAAAGATGCCCAGTCTGTCCACTAATAACTGTCAATCTGTCCCGGTAGATCGTCCGGTTTTATTTTCGACAATATCTCTGAAAGGCAAGAAAAATAAATCGCTGTGGCAAAAATGTCATTCGCAATATGAACGGGAAAGGTAACAACGGACGATGGATGACACGATTATCTCTCAAATGGTAGGAAAATACCTAACCTAGTGCGAGTCTTTCTTACTAGATACTGTGGCGTTTTTCCATAGGTGGTGCTACCCTCTTAGGTACTAACTACGGGACTACGTTCTTTTGTACTGCACACCGTAGACCATAATCAGCTAACAGTGAAAGGCATCAACGCCTTTGATAGATCTTTCATAAGAAGATAGATAGATCGTTTTACGTGTGATGACTCGAATTTCCTCTTGTGAATTATTGACTGTAGTTATTTACTGCAGATCAGTTCATATATAATGAAAATCCTATAACATAGCTGCAGGAGTCATTCTATAGCTCGCAGCTCGAGACATTTCTATAGAAACGTTTCGAGCTGCTTGACTATAGACGGCATTCTCGCGTAGGTAGAAACTATTTTGATGAAAATATACCTGTAAAAATCTATTTTCCCTCGCCGACGCAATTCAAAATAACTATGAACTACGAGACGGGACGACATTGGTCACAAATCTCGCAGCTCAAAGTAAGATGAATGTGCTTGGCGTATAGTTGGGTACACGTGATAATATAATGGGTAAGTAGCTAATTCACTATTTCACAATTCATGCAAGAGCAAATTAAAATACTTTTTTAAACAAAGTTATTTTCACCGGCGTCACTTTGTTCAAAGTTCCACATCATTTTTCCTCGCCCGGTTCTTTCTGGAGTATTCCCTAAGCTAAAATTGTATGCAGGAGTAGTAACAATTTAATAGGAAACGCAGCTACATATTAGAATTTGTTTGCGATACGATACGGCGAAATCTGTAGACATATATATATATATAATGTTCTCGTCGAAGGTATTTTATTACGAAATCGGAATTTTTTTGGCCTGCGTCGGTGTAAGTGGCTAGGCATTAAATGGTAGTTAAAACTACAGCTATTACATGTAGGATACAAATGTATATCACGCTGTTTTGTTGAACACGAGGAAACCTAACGACATTTTTAACAGTTTGTGGAAAGGCTACTACCACTTGAAATGGTAAACAGCCAGGCTTGAACTGAGGGGATTGCTCCATTGTCAAGATTGGTTTGTTGTCGCGGCAAAAAATATGATCTACTCTTCCTAAACAGAAAGCAGCGGTCAAACAGCGTAGACTCTAAAGAGATAAGCATGAAGACTGCCGCAAAGATCTGTACAGGACAGTAGCAGAAGAGTAGTTGCCGATAGATCACCGCCAATTCGATCGAGCGGCTGTTACCGGTTTTTTATTTTCTTTCCAAAATACGCATTTCCTCGTACGTATTTTTACGTATAGGTTTCTCGCTAACTTTTTTGAGTGATCGGCCGCCATGTGTCGACATGTATATTGTTGCGAGTACCAATAATGTAATTCCTTGGTCTAGATCAGCACATGTAGCTCAAATAGCAAACGTAAGCCATTTGCAGCTCTATTACTGACAGTATCTGCAGCTCAGGATCGAAAAGCCAGGGCAAGTGGCGTTTCGATTCGCAGTAGGACCCAATAAGAAGGAGGCTGTATCACGAACTCAATTTACGCTGCATCCAGCAAATTAATTCTATGGCTGGCCGTACTGTCACTTCCTACGAGCAGTCTTTGGGTGATGTGTTTGCACTTCCGCACGGGGGTACAAGGTCCTCCACATGTCAACCTATTTGGACCCATACCACAATAGCGAAGATGCGTAATAAAGGCATTAGAAAACTTACTTTGTGGTTCCCCCTCTCTCCCCCCAGTTGTTCTCGTAAATAGAAATGACGAGACGAAATCACAAAACGGAACCCCTCTGAGATGCCTAACTTACTAGACGGGCTAATGGCTGATGAGCGTCCGTTACACATCGAGTTGATCAGGCGTTGATTTTTGACTGGGACGTCTGGTAGCCAAGGGACGCAATAATAACGTTGACACTGAACACGCTATTATTAATCGAGCATTTAATGTTTAGGCGTAGTTGGAACGGTAATTTTTTTTTGCCAGGCTGTTCGGCTCGAAAAAGCTACAGGATATAAAAACTCGAAAAGCGAAACCTCAACCGGTCGACAACTCACCTTTCAAATTTCTATCCCTCACTTTGTATCTGTCTACTCTGCAAAAGCAATGCTCACATATGATTTACGCATCGTTTTTGTTTTTGTTCTACTACTATACAACCGTAATTTTCAAAACTATTTCAGAATTAACCATGCTCAAAAAATACGATAGAATAGGTCACTGTAGCAATAGCATAAATGAATAATGGTGGATTCAGGTGAAAGTGCTCTTATAAAGCTTTAACAATGTGCGTCTTACAAACCCCTCACGTCCATGCGATACGAAACCTTTAAAACCATTCCATGACCAGTATCGACACCTTCCCTGACAGTCCTCAAAGGCAACAATACCTTGTAATTAACGAATTAATAAAATTACCGAATTACTTCGACGAAAGATCTGAGCTAAACTTACAGGACGGCTTCCATGAAACATTTCAACGTTTAAATTAACCGTTGCTTCTTCCACAGCCGAATACGCCCCTCGAGTTTGTCTGCTGCCTTCCGCTTGTTATTGTTATATCTTACAAGTTTCAGCAACCCGTTAAACAATAACTCTAAACAATCCAACGTGGCTCTTGCCGTACGGCAGGCATAACGCATCGGTTTCTCACGCATGGACATCGCACTTATTGTGGCAGAGTTTCTGACAAACACTGGGGGGCAACGTCGGGGCCGTTGGAAGACGCCTTAACAACAATTCTCATGACTCCTCATACTTTAGATTTAGTCAATAAACTTCGTTGGGTTCCTCAAATCCACTGTGCTATAACGTTTATAATCAACATCAATTAATCGATTAATATTTAATATAACTCAAATCGGACATGTCCAAACGTGACGTCCTACCGGTTACCCGTATATATGCATTTCATTTATACGAAAGTCGGTACACGTTGAGTTATTTACGCAGCTCTAAAGAGAAGCATGGAACCGACGGCGAACTTCCATATGGTATATAATATGTATATATATATATATGATACATAGGTACGAGCAAGATTCTACTTGACTGTGATGTAAAATTATTTGGTGACAAATCGAAGCTATTTCTAGGTTTTGAGTTGGTACAATTGTATTCTTCTAAACACAAATAAACAACAGAGTTATTGCCGAATGAATAGAACGGGAAGCAATTAGGCCTCATATAAAAAATAATTGGCATCCTTTTTGATGCAGAAGAAATTTCGTGTTGAGCGCTCCTATCCAAAGCCATGTACTGCTAATCCTCGGGGGTGTCGAAACGATCGGTGTGAATCGGCACGTCATTCCCATTTATTCCATCGGCTGCAATTGTCGCTCCGGGCTACGGGCCTAAACTACGTGCACGTGCGTATACCTGGTACGCATTTTACACATCGCTGTTGGAAACGAACTCGGTCTACAATAAATCAAGCCGATGTACGACTCATCGGTCACGTATATCTACAGCGCACGTAGAATCCTGATCCCTTGACGGCAGTCTTGCTAAATAGCTCTACTCAAAATACGACCTACCGGACGTGTATTGACGACTCGTTATTGTACGCTAATGGATACTGCACGAATGAAGGATGAGCGCACCTCCTCATAACTCTTCCATGTGACGCCAAGGAGTCTCGCCCAATTGAGGGAAGCGCAATGGTACTCAAAACTGAGAAATATAACAACTCTGCGGATTAATCTGCTTCTCAGCTTAATCGTGCCAATGGTCAACGACGAGAAACCAAAGGCCAGCTGGGATTACTAAATACTCTACGTATCTATATGGATTACATTTGCGGAGCACTCGCGGTTCCGCTAGTAATATCGATGTCGCTCGGCATAAGTCTTACCCTGTCTTGTTGCTTGAGACTCAATCGTGACACCCGTTGTTTTGTAACCTCAACCGTTTGGATTTATAGGATCTACGAGATTCTCCCGTCAGCGCTCAGTGTCGTAGACGCTGCAATCGACAGACCTTGATCAATTCTTGGCGTGACGCTCCTCTAGGTAAATAGTGTTGGCGGTCTCCTTACAGATGTAGCCGTAGCTCGAAACGGATTTGCTTCTATGGCTATATGGGCCGCTTTTGGTGGGCTGCTCCTCTACATGCTGCTAGGCTTAAGCGGGACATTGAAAAAAGAAGATGGCTGCTATGGTTGATATGGTATTGTTGTTAATGGCAGTAGCGGATTCACTCACTATGAAGGGTCAATTGCAATTATTTGTGCCGAAAAAATCTACGCTGAGTGGCCGAATCAGTGGACGAGACCTACGCTGGCGTACTAAGCTAGCCACATTAATGTTTAGATTTTGGTTGCTTTCGATGGGATTGAGAAAATAACATAGATACGTTTCTATTTTTCTGCTCATAAACAATTAGATTTGAAGTTTTCGCCTAAGATACTCTCACATTCGTTCAAAACATTACTGTTAGCCTAAGGCTATGGTTCTACGATAAATATTTACACGAAATGTGCGGAAATAAACACAACTAGCTACGCAAACTTATATAGATACGCATTTAGATCTATGGTTTCGCCTCGACGTCGGCGGAAACATGGCTGACATCTCGTTAAAGGACGGTACAACTGAATGGGAGCAATTTTACAGCCGATAAAAAGATGTGTACAATGAGGTCCGATAAACGTTTGCCTAGAGTCTTTCGGAAAGCCAGCGACGTTTTGGCTAAGTTTACTTTCATTGCTTTTATTTGTTTTCCTACAAGCGGTGTGCTAGGTTCTCGACGAAGGGAAGCTGTGCTTACATCTATAAATGAGAGAGACATCGTAGCTTCCTTGAAAGACTCATATCTACGCACAGATGTTTAGTAGCTACTCCATACCTCAACGCATATCGGCATTGGTTCGTCAAAGGGTAATCAACTTCAAACACGCTAAGGTTCTCGAGCTCGTGCTTAGTTGTACGACCGTATGCAATATACGTATACATAACTATACGTAACATACATAACTGACATACCGATAAGAGGAATTGCTAAAAGTTGTTGCTAAAAGTAAACAGAGCAATATTAAGAAAATGGAAATTATAAAAATGTAACGAACTAAGAATTTCGAGAAGGATGCCTAGGCTGTTATAAATTGCTTCAGACAGCTGGCAGCACGAAGCGCAGTGAGTCTACGTCCGGATTTGGATCTAGACCGCCCCATATGTCTAAGTTCATAAACAAACGTTTGCATTTCAGTCTGCGCGAAATTCACCTAGTGTCTAGCTGGACATTTTGCCTTGACGTTTTGACTTTTCGAACAGTCTGACCAAGTAGGACATATTTGATGTTACGCGAATAAATAGAAAGGCTTATTTTATTGACCATTAAAGGCTAATTGATGCTGAGATAACCTTGCTTGTACTGGGGCCCAACAACCTTCGGTACAAGGTGGCATAGAGTGCCCAGCGGTAGCACACAATGACACCGCTTAACCTATCATCGCATCCGCAATTATGCCGTCACAATCGTTTTTACTAGAAGCGACTTATGCCATATTGTTTACGAACGCTTGCAGTTATATGAGGAGCTTTCAACTACGTAATATATAATAACCAAATATATTGCCACTTACATTATATGATAACTATACGTCAAAAACCAATTTACCGTGGTAAACAAATTCCATGGAAGATACGCAAACCCCTAAATGGCTAAAAAAAAGTTTTCAACATTATTCCAAGTCGTTCCGTGTTACTTGTACTATTCGCGGAACAGCATATAATATGCCTGGATTTAAAGAAGTTCCGCTTAGAGAACGATTAGGATATTAATTTACAACGGACGAGTTAATACAGACCTGTTTGAGTTTTTAAATTATACCAATCTGCGCCATTTTGAATTATTTTTACCATATATATATACATATATATAATAACGATTAATATTCATTTAGTCAATTTGAGACGCATTTGCGAATACCTATCGGTTCGACATCCTATCAAGGACCCTTTTGGATTCGAGAAAAATTTTTCTAATTGAGATAGAATGTTTTGCTCGCAAACTCGTAGGTAGCTATTATAGCAGAGAAATCCAGTACAGAACTGATTCTTTGTTTATTATTGAAATACATTGAAATGTATTAAGCGCAACTTCAACTAGGATTTAGTTATCTAACTCCGAGGTTAGATCGGATAACTGCGGATGTTCAGTGGTGAGCGCGGCCTATGTTGAGCTCATTTGTCACTGGTACCTATCAGAGCAGTCAAAATCGATAACTCCAATTTGCAGGAATAGCCCATTTCTACTCTATTCTTTAACTCTTGAGAAGTTGCAGGGTCGATAAGCCCGCAGTGGACAATAGTGTATGTGGTACGTTAGGACACATTTCCAACGTATTATCTATAGGAGCTGTAATGACGCCGATTCCGTTCGACCGTGACTCTTTACGTTAAACTTTGCGTAAAAGGCTTGTATCATTTGAAAAATCATCATCTAATAATGCCAATGGCTTAACTTGAAACAGATTTAAAGGGTACAGATGAATGCCTAGGTTTCGCTTGCTGCTCATATTAGCTTGGTTTAGCGGCGTTTTTTTTAATGCTATTTAGATATGAGCAAGAATTGTCTGTGAATTATGTAAATCGTATATATGGTTCGAACCTCCAATTTGTGAGAGTCCTTCACATTTTCCTCCGTCAAATTACTGTTAAAATGTCCCAGTTCTTATTTTTAAAGGTCGCGTAATTATTTTTTCGTCTTTCTTTATTGAGCGACCTCATGGATACCGAATTCTGTGATCAAGACGAATTGCATACAAACCAAAAGGCAAAATGTATCGAAGCACCCGTTAGACCTCGGAAGATGCACTGACCACTATAACATTGCAATCAATGGTGGCTCTGCTTACCAGAACCCACAAATAAACGAATCTATCGATTCCTATATAAGTATAGTAAAACAAACAATTGATTTAAGCCTGGCGTAATGCTCCGGTACAATG